CCCAGCCGCTGTGCTCACTTCCTGTCTGCACGTTTCCTTTTCCCTGCAGGCCTCTGGCTGTACCTGGCAGGGAGCAGCCTGCCCTGCCTCACGCTGATTGGCTCTCCTAATTTTGGGTACAGGTCAGTTCACCGGGACCTGGAGGCCCAGATCGCCATCGTGACGGAGAACCGAGCTCTGCAGCAGCAGCTTCACCAGGTTGGTTGGGGCCAGTGGGGTCTCCTGGGTGTGTGGGGGTCTCAGGGGTTCAGCCTCGCACCTGTCCCCGGCTGCCTGAGAGCTGCCTTTTGCCCTCGTGTCTTGGGACAGAGTCCCAGAGCAGGGTGAGGAAGCCTGGAGTCCCTGCCGGTCTGCTGTTCTGGGCTGTCTGTGCCTCGCTGAATCCTGCCACGGCCGTCCTCTGGAGGCCAGGCCCTGGCCGCGCAGCTGCCCGGGGGGCTCAGGCCCCACATCCTGGCGTCTTCGGGGGCTTTTTCTCCACCTCCCCCCTTGTTGGGAAACCTGTTCTCTCACTGGGGTCTGAGTACAGCACCGGAGCCCAGCCTTCTGTGAGGATGGGGTCAGAGGGCAGTGGTGACACCGGCGCCTTTGCCGATGGTACTCATTTTCCGTGGAAAGCTGGTGACCAAGAGTTACGGTGGCGTCTCGGTGCTCCTGTGCGGTGGCTGTTTGACTCCCCGCCGCGGGCTGGTGGGCCGCCCGAGGGGAGCACAGGCCCCTCCTAGGCCGGCCTTGGGTGCTGCTTCGGCCTCTTGAGTGTGTGACCTTTGCAGTGACCTTTCCCTGGAAGGTGCCCGTTGCTCTCTGAGTCCTGGGAGCACAGATAACAGCGCTTCGGGCCGCTCAGAGGCCGCCGCTGTTGACCCGCTCAGCTTCTGTAGCTCCGCGTCTGGGAAGCACGGTTGCGAAATCCTTGGAGCCTTTGTTGATGGACGGGGAAATGGTAACTGCCTTGTTCCCTGGGATCTGGGAATCCTGTCAGTGACTGAGTGGGGCCGTGGTGCCAGGAAGGGCCTTGCGACCAGGGCAAGAGGAAGTGACAGCGGTCGTGCTCTGGGTGGGCCAGTGGGTTTGTTCCTCAGGTTTCTTCCTCCAGTGAGGTTTACAACAAATGGCTGAGGAAGCCCCCACAGGCTGAGATTCCAGTAATGGGGTGACCGCTGGCCTCAGGGCAGGCTGCGAGAAAGGCAGGGCCTGCAGCCTTCAGCAGGGGCCCCGAGATTGCAGGGGGAACTGCTCCACTGTGCCTTGTCTGGCTCAGCGCTGCCCCGGTGGGGCTGAGCCCAGGCCAGGACAAGTTCTGCACGGACCTGGGTCAGTCTGTGGGAGCAGGCCCCCAGGCCAGTGCCTAGGGTCCTGGTTCTGGCATCCCCCCCTTCTCGAGGAAGGCAACTGAACCCACATCCTGGATCTTGGAAATGGCTGGGGCCGGTTGTGGTCAAGAGCTGCTTCCTCAAATGACATACTTGGGATGTTTTCTTTCTCTTCCCCTCTTCCCAAACCTGAGTCCCAGAAGGTCCCAATGGTGGCCTGGTGGTCGCTCGTGCTGCTGGAGCCCTCCGTCCTCTGTGCCTGCGGGATGCACACACGCCTCTGGCTAATTCCACCCCCGAACTTCTGCCAGCCCGCGGCCACCTCCTGGGTCTGCAGGACCCCGTCTCTGGTGCCAAACCATGCTGGGACTGCCCAGCCCACAGCCTCCCCACAGCTCAGAAAGTCCCCAAAACCCCAGCTGCCTGGGTCCCTGTGCTTGGAGTCTCCTTGGGATCCAGGGAAGGGCCCTAATCATGTCACATTGCATATTGGGACTGGGAAGGTTATTTTTATCAAAATCTGCAGTCCCTCCTTCCACTTTGTGCCCACAAGAAGAACGGAAAGCTTCCTGGTCTGGTCTGGTCTGGTTCTGTTTACCACATGTGACCCCAGAAATGAGCCCCCTCAGCTCACTTCCTTCTCCGTGCCGGTCGGGGAGTCTGGGAGGGAAACGTAAGCAGTCTGGTAATGTCCCTGGTGGATGGTCATGTGACAAGGCGCCGGACCTGCGTCTTTGGGGATCTCTGCAAACCAGCCCCCCAAGACCAGCTGGCTCTGCCAACGAGCCGTCCAGCCGGGGACCTGGGCCTCACAGCCAGAGCTGAGGTCAGAGGGTGAGGCCCTCTGGTCGTGCCGTGTGGGCTAGGGCGGCAGAGCTGCTGTGGCCCGCTCAGATTCACAGTGCTGCGTGGGCCTCAGTGACAAGGGCTCGCTTTCTCGATGCGGGTGAGCACTGGGAATGTGCTGAAGAGACAGTCGGGGTCCCGGGTCTCTTCACCCCACTGAGGAGAGCTGGACACAGTCCATGCTTCCCAGAGTGAGGCGTCCTGCCCCAGGGCTGAGGCGTGGCCAGGGCTCTCTCTTCCCTTCCTGCCTTGAGAACAAAGCTTATCCCAGAGTGGTCCTTCAGGCTCCCGGTCCTTCAGCTGACCAGGTTCTCCACAGCATCGTCACGTGCCCCTCACAGAAGATGGGGCGTAGGGGAGGCCTGGGCTGTACAGAGGAAGGGCTCCAGACCCCGCGGGATCTCCCTGCCCAGAGGGCTGGGAACAGTGTTAGGATCGTGACCCCTGACTGCCACCTGCTGCTAGTGAGCGTTCCCGCAGGCCTGGACAGCACGCGGAGAGCGGCTTTTCATCCCCGGACGTTCTCCTCTCCGGGGGCCAGGCGCACGCAGCACTTGCAAATGCTTGACTCATGTTTGTCTCTGTTTGCTGTCCAGGGCTTGTATACTCCCTGGAGAGGACACAGACAGAGAAAAATCAGCCCTTAGCAGGGGCGGCCACCACAGTCTCTTCTGCACCACTCTCCTCTCGGGATTTTGGGCATGCACGCACGCACACACGGCCGTCATGTTTTTCACACTGCCAGGTCTGAGACGTAAACTGTGCAGTCGGCTATGTGGGGTCCAGCCGCCTTAACCGCCATAGGCTGGCTGGCCCTGCGTGAGCTCGAAATCCCCTCATACTGTGCATTTCCCGTGTCACCAAGTGAGCGCTCCTCTGTGACGCTGTCTCGAGTGCCGCCTCGTCATCTGGGTGTACTAGCTGGCCGGCGGCCGGCTCGGTGCTTTCCAGCCTTCCTGCGGTGGACGTAGCTCTGGCTCAGTCCGAGTGGATCTGAGGGCGCGTCGTGACTTTCTTAGGATAAGCCCTGAGAAGTGGCACTTTGAAAGGCTCTTGGCGCCTGTCTCCAGATTACTGTCCAGGGACTTGTCAGCGGGGAGCAGAGCGCCTGTTTGCTGAGCCTGCCTCTGCGTGGGATAATGATGTTACAGCTTAGTGCCAGTTTGATAAGCAAAACTGTCTGCATTTAAAAATACCTCCCTCCTTTAGTGAGGTAAATGCACTAAATGTTATTTCTAGGGGCTGTGTTTTCTCACCTCTGAGCTGAAGAAATGTAGTGCAGAGTGTGTCTTGGCGATTCATTCATCCATCTGTCCATTCATTCATCTGGTCATCTATAGGGCATGTGTGCTCACCAGAGAGAGAAAGAGAGGTCACTCCCCAGGGTGACTCCGCTTCCATTCTCTCAGATTGGGGCAGTCACACACATGCCGGCATGATTTTCAAGCCCCTGGGTCCAGGACTCAAACAAGGAATTCACGTGGGATCTAGCTACCCTGACCTCCCTGCCAACTGCTGGCCCATGTCCAAACACAGGCCTTTCAGGAACACTGGTTTCTCAGCTTTGCTAAAGACGTGTACAGCGGCAGCTCACAGGGCCTGGCCTCCCCCTGCTACCAAAAACCCTGCCATGGCTGGTCTTGGTTGATGCGCGAGATTGTATTTGTCACCTGGTCCGAGGGCTGGGGCCCAGCAGCCGTGCTGCCCGGGGCTAGGGCACTGCTGACTGTCCTGTCTGTCCTTCCCCAGGAGCAAGAGCAGCTCTACCTGCGGTCAGGCATGGTGTCTTCTGCCACCTTCGAACAGCCCAGTCGGCAGGTGAAGCTGTGGGTGAAGATGGTGACACCGCTCATCAAGAACTTCTTCTGAGGACAGGCAGGTGCCGCCCCAGCAGAGCTCTAGGCCTCGGGAAAGCCTCTCCCCTCCGTCTTTGGGATGTGCACAGCGGGTGGACGTTGTCGACGGCCGTCATCACAGTGCTTGAGCCTGCTGCTAGGTCAGGAGGCCAGGTGCCCTCCTCAGGGCCACCTGCTGGGCAGCAGCTTGTGGTCTGTTCCCTTCTTCCCTTAGGGGACAGAAAGGCAGGTTCTGTTCTTCCCTCCTGGAAGCTAGGCAGGCCAAAGGAGACATGGATGTGGAGAGAGAAGCGCTGATGGTTGGTCAGGAGAGTGGCCCTGGCCGGCAGCAGCTCACAGGAACAAGTAGTCAGCCAGACCTTGGAGCTGCTGCTGCACCATCTCCTGGCGCTTCTGTGACACAGTCAGAGGTGCCATGTTCTAGGCACTCAGGCAGGTGCACCCAGGCGTCTGGAGGTCTGGGTGGGGGTGTCTCCTGGGCTATTTGGGTTGGACATTCTGGGTGCTCCCTGGTTGCAGTAGTTGGGCCTTTGGCTGGTGGGGAAGGGAGAGTGGGGTATCGCAGAGAGGCTCGAGGGACGTAGGCCGAGGTCTCTGCATGGCCACCCTGTGTGTGCAGTGGGCCTGCCTCCCTGGGTCTCCTCTCAAAGATCTTATTTGTATTGTGTAGTTTTTCCTCATTAATGTACAAATTTAGAGTAAAACAGCACTAAATTGCAGCCTTTCCTGCTCTCCCTGCCCCGGCAGCCACTCTTGCGTTTCCTCCCATTGCACACGTGCTTCTAGATCACACATGGGTACTGCGCTTTCTCCCTGAACCCCAACTGTACCCACATGTTTTCATGCCTGGTCAAAATCAGTAAGAATTTCTTACACAGGGCAGGCAGGTATCCTCAGGTATCCAGGAGGTATTCTGTTAGTTCCAGTCATCTTTTAAGTATTTTAAATTTTGTTTTATTATTTTTAATGCTACCTTTTCCGTTTGTGTTATTTGACTCACGGCTCACTTAAGATCTGCCCCTTGAGATTGGTCGCTGTGTTAACCAAGGCTCTTAATCTGCATGTTTTCGCTCGTGACATATTGGAGAGCGGGCCTCAGGTTTATTGGACCTACTTAGAATGTTCTCGCAGTGCCCCTCACAGCAGGGGCCTTGGTTAGGGCTGACAGGTATGTTTATTCCAGTCAGCTGTCCTGCCCCGGGCCCAATCTGCATCTCAGGGGCTTGAACCTTGCACGGAGAAAGCCTTTCCAGAGAGAAGCCTCCCGGGCTCTGGGGCCAGCTGTCCTTTAGGACTGCATCCCTGCGCTCTGCCTCTGGCACCTGCACCTGCCACCCTTGGTGGGGGCTCCAGAACTGGGTGGGCTGCAGCTGCTCCCCAGGCAGGCGGACCTGCAGGTCTGCTGGTGGGGACTAGAGCAGGACAGGGCCCCGTTGCCTGGCCCAGTGCACTCGTTAGCATTGTCCGCATCCGAACTAGTAATAAGCTGTCCCAAGAGACAGTTTGACCAGAGGGCGACGGGGTGTGCAGGGGCACTGGGTTGCTGGAGAGAGGCCTTCGTCAGCAGCGTTGGCACTCCCCGGCTGGGTGCCGCAGCGGCTTGAGCGGCCAGGTGCTACGCTCCGCTGCTCCCTTTGTGCCTGCTTTGTCCTTAGCTGTCCCCGGCTGGACCTCCACCCAGGAGCTTGCTCCCCAGACCAGGGCTCCCCAGCTGCACAGTGCGGGAGCGGGCACGACAGCAGAGGTGGCGCTCCAGGCCTCTCGCACTCGGAGGCTCTGGGGCTTGTGCTCTGCCCCCTCCTGTCCCATCGGAGGTGAATCACCCCTGGAGAACTTGGGCATGGTTTTTGTCGGGTACCTGTGGTACGTGTGCATGGGGAGTAGGGTATTGTATTTCAACAGCACTCCACTTTTTGTGGTTATCAGGGGTTGACAGCAAGCTGCCTGGTGGCTGCAGGCAGTTTTAGTGCCTCTGACCCTGTCAAGAAGGGCTGCAGTGACCCCTCCTGGCCAGCAGAGGTGGCCGCCTAGCAGCTAAATTATCCTGCCTTCTCTACTGGGGCCACCGAAGAGTTGGCTTCCCAAGGCCCCGGGGAGGGGTGGTTTTCCTTTTCCGTCCTCATCAGCTCGGCTGGGCCCCGGGATTGTTGGGAAGGATTACTCTGGGTTTAGACTTCCTAGATTGCCTGGGTGAGCATACTTGGAAAGCTGAGCTGAGGATGAGCTTCCTGGAGGGTTCTCTCTTTTGCTTTTTTGCAAAAAAAAAAAAAAAAAGTCAAGGACCCTGTTTCAGCCTCTACCATTTCTGCAGTGTGTAGGTCCACCAGCTGTCCTCCCTGTACCCCAGATTTCTAGAGCACTCCCCCCACTTGTCTGCATACCACTGCCTGGGGAGGCCTCACATGGCTGCCTGGCCTCTGCGAGACGGTGCCACACCAGGGCAGGCCTGGGGTTCACTGGTCACACTTCCATGGAGACCAGTCTGATTGCAGATGGAACATCCTCTTCCCAGTCCGAAGGGCCTGAGGGCTAAGCCAGGGCCCTCAGGGCAGCCCCCAGACTAGTACTGTGGCAGCCACCCGGGGTGTGGACGGAGGCCACTTCTAGCTCATGAGCAGGCTGCTGCCGGCCAGCGTGTGCACAGGCAGGGTGTGTGCACGCCACCTCTCCCTGTGGGACACACTTGCTTTCTCGAGCCCCCTCTCTGGCCGGGCCGAGGGGAGTTTTCGTGGTTGTCCTGTGGATGACTGAAACCCAGGCCGTCTGAAAGACTTGTCCAAAGGAACAGAAACCTGGCCTTCTTTACTAAGGCTGGCCGGAGGTTTGCTGTGGGCAAGCCTCGCAGGTCCTTGGCCTCAGCCTCTGTGCCTGCAGTGGGGGAGACACGGCCCATGGGACAGCTGAGATGGCCAAAGCCTGGGTCTCAGTCAAGCCTGTCACACCGCCCTGGGCACCCTTCTCCCCAGCTGCAGGCCCTTCCTAGCTCACCGGGCCTGCAAGTGTGGTTGCTGGGAGGGTAGCGGGGAAAGGCATGGAAGAGGGGGCCTTGGCTCCTTGGGAAGGATGCCCGTGACCTGAGTGCTGTGGTCATTTCAGCCACTGTTGGGTGGTGTCAGAAAGTGGGCAGTGGGAAGGACAAGTGCTTCAGGGCACCTGTGCGGAACAGTTTGTCCTTCCAAGTCTGGGGGGGTGGAGAGGAGGCATTACCATAGTCACAAAGGTCCCCTTGTCCTTGCGAGAAAGGGACAGTGCCAGTAAGAGGCTGCTTGGAGGCGGAGTGCCCATCCCCTTGTCGGCGGGCGTTGGCACGTAGCGTCAGGCCAAAGGACGTGACGGCTGCTGACTCCACGTGCTGCTCCCCATCTCTCCCTCCCCTGAAGTCCCGGGATGCGTGCCCCTGGCCGGGGTCCTCACCCCCGAGCCTGTGCTGGCCCGAGGTGGCCATCGGGCACAGTGAGAGGCTGGTGCAGTGAAGTGCGTGAGCACAGCTCAGCTGCGGTGGGTGTGGTCTGCACGCTTCCTCCCTGGTAACCCCGCCTCGTTAGTCCACGTGCTCGTGGTTAAAAATGTGATTATTTAAGAGAACAGAAGACAGCCGTCAGTCTGGGGAAGAGTCACAGTCGCAAGGCCAGGTCTCTGGTTGGGAGTTCGGAGTTGCGGAGAGGCCGCAGATCCGGCCGGGCCTGACCGAGCGACGGGAGCAGCTAGACCTGTAAGAGCAGCGCCACGGCCGCCAGGACCCACTTGGCCGCCTTCTCTTTGGTCTTGAGGTTGAAGGTCCAGACGTAGGTGGGGCCGCGGACGCGTGTTTTGTACACGGGACACTCATAGATATTCTTGGTCTCCATGCGGTCCACAGGGATGGCCTTGATGAAGATGACTGGCATGGCCGGCGTCAGCTCCTTCAGCCGTGCCTCAGCGATGACTCCGGTCTGGGTGTCCCAGCGAGCACCTGCGGGGTCAGGGCGACCCTGGTGAGACGACTGGGGCCTGGCTGGTGAGCTGGCAGCAGGTGCCACGTACCGGAAGGAGAGGCCTGGCCCGAGACCCCTGAGGTTCGAGCCAGCTGGCTGAGGCTGGATGGCACAGGGACTGTGAGCAAGGAGCTGTGGACTGAGGTGGCTGGGTGACTGCGCATGTCTGAACTGCCCGCGTCCTCCCGGCACCGAGGAGCAGCTTGGCACTAAAGCCCTCGGGTTCCATCCCTCTGCGCTTGCGTGTGTTCCGAGCCTCATCTGTCCGCTGCTTGATCTCAGT